AGGACCTGAAGTACTCTGCTCCATGCTCTTCTTGCTTGCATGGTTTGTGATGAGAAGTCAGCCATAATTCTGATGGATTTTCCTTTGAATGTGATCTGCTTCTTTTCTCTAGCGGCATTCAGTAGATTATTCTTGTGCTGAATTTCTGGGATCTTGACTATTATATGTCTCGGTGTGTTTTTCATTGGGTTGTGGTTGCTTGGTGTTCTGTATGCTTCAATTACCTGAATGTCACATTGTTTCCTCATATTTGGGAAATTTTCTGCTATTACTTCTGCCCATATTTTTAAATATCATTTTTATTGATTCCTTTTTTCTCATTGATGCCTATTAGTCTCAAATTGTTCATCTTTGCATCATCTTGCAGGTGATGGATTATTTTTTCCTGCATCCTAGTTGTTTTTAAGAGATCCCTTGTTACCTTTTCACTAGCTGCACCAGTATCTTCAAGATCTGAAACTCTGTCTTCACTTTCACTTAAACGGTTTTGCAAGCTTGTGATTGAGATTTTAATTTCCTCTATATCTGTTTGACTCTCCTTCATGCGACCTATTTGTTTCCTGAATTGCTCATTCAGGGAATCCGTCATTTTTCTAATCTCCTCTATTTTTTTTCAATGTCTTCTTTAGAAGCAGTTATAAATTCTTTTTCTGCAGTGTTTTTTTTTAGATTGGGTTTCTTCCCTGTTTCTGTAGTTGCTTCTTTACTTCAGGTGCTATGAATTCTGAAAATTTTTTTTATTTCAGAAAAGAATTGCGCTCTGAGTTCCTCTATATCTTTCTGCTGTTGCTTATTTACTATCGACACTATTAATTCATGCATTTGAGCCAAGCTAGTGTCCTCCGCAGTTGTTTGGTTGGGCACTGGGTTTCCTCCATATGTTTTTGCATTTGATTCTTTACTGCAGATGTTATTTATTCAGGGATTTCTTTTTTGTTTCCAATCTGAGTTCCTGTATACCTTTCTGCAGCTGTTTCTTTATTTCAGAAGCCATTGATTCATTGCCTTCAGCTGTGTGATTCCCAGTTTGTTCTGTGTTAGTGTCTTCTGCACTTGTTATCGGTCGGCTTGGTTTCTGAGGTTGTATTTTGTTCCTTCTCGTCATTTTGTGTAGCACTATCTTCTGACCTTTGCTGTAGATCTTCGTTGTAGTTATAACCTTAGCACGTACTGAAGTTCAGGTGCAGATTTGCAAAGTTTGGATTTAGCCAGGTGTGCCTGTCTTGGTTCTGGCTGCTGTGCTCATCCCCTTCCTGCTGCTGCCCTTGAGGGTGAACCTGTTGTGCCCCTCTGGCAAGATATTCTGCTCCTGGACTAGCTGGGTGGTTCTATCCTCTACACTCTCTGCAGGGGTTGTAGCTGCAGGGTTACACCCCAGGCATGTAAGCCAGGCCTGAGCTGTGCCTGGAGGGGACAAGGTGGAGTACGGTGGAGAGGCAGCTCTCCCACACACTCACTGAGCCTGGGCTAGGACTGGGTCTGGGGGTTCCTGGAATGCAGCAGATATTTCTACTCAGCGGGCTGGGTGGGGGAGGTGCTGCGGAGTGGTGATGGGTGTCCCAAGAGGATGGAAGACGGTCTCTCCCACGCTGCACCTGGGCTGGGACCCATAGTTGGTCCTGCTGGAGCATGGTAGCCGGAAAGCTCTCCCACACACTCACTGGAACTGGGCTAGGAGTGGTGTCCATATTTTTTTTTAATGTCGTTTGTATTGACTCCTTCTTTCTCATTGATGCCTATTAGTCTTACATTGTTCATCTTTGCATCATCTTGCAGGTGATGGATTATTCTTTCCTGCATCCTCATTGTTTTTAAGAGATCCTTTCTTACCTTTTCACTAGCTGCATCAGCATCTTCAAGATCTGAATCTCTGTCTTCATTTTCACTTAAACAGTTTTGCAAGCTTGTGATTGAGAGTTTAATTTCCTCTATATCTCTTTGACTCTCCTTCATGCGATCTATTTCTTTCCTGTAATGCTCATTCAAGGAATCCGTCATTTTTCTAACCTCCTCTATTTTTTTTTAATCAATGTCTTCTTTAGAAGCAGTTATAAATTCTTTTACTGCAGTGTTTTTGTCAGATTGGGTTTCTTCCCTATGTTTCTGTAGTTGCTTCTTTACTTCAGATGCTATGAGTTCTGAAAATTCTTTTTTTTATTTCAGAAAAGAATTGCGCTCTGAGTTCCTCTATATCTTTCTGCTGTTGCTTATTTACCATCGACGCTATTAATTCATGCATTTGAGCCAAGCTAGTGTCCTCTGCCCTTGTTCTGGGTGGGCACTGGGTTTCCTCCATATGTTTTTGCATTTGATTCTTTACTGCAGATGTTATTTATTCAGGGATTTCTTTTTTGTTTCCAATGTGAGTTCCTCTATACCTTTCTGCCGCTGTTTTTTTTCATTTCACAAGCTGTTGATTCATTGATTTCAGCTCTGTGATTCCCAATTTGTTCTGTGTTAGTGTCTTCTGCACTTGTTACGGGTGGGGTTGGGTTCTGAGGTTTCATTTTGTTCTTTCTCACCATTTTGTGTAGCACTGTCTTCTGACCTTTGTTGTAGATCTTCGTTGCAGTTATAACCTTAGCACGTCCTGAAGTTCAGGTGCAGATTTGCAAAGTTTGGATTTATCCAGTTGTGCCTGGCTTCAGTCTGGCTGCTGTGCTCAGCTCCTTCCTGCTGCTGCCCTTGAGGGTGAACCTGTTGTGCCCCTCTGGCAAGATGTTCTGCTCCTGGACTAGCTGGGTGGTTCTATCCTCTACACTCTCTGCAGGTATTGTAGCTGCAGGGTTAAACCCCAGGCCTGTATGTCAGACCTGAGTTGTGCCTGGAGGGGACAAGGTGGAGTAGGAGGGAGAGGCAGCTTTCCCACACACTCACCGGGTCTGGGCTAGGACTGGGTCTGGGGGTTCCCGGAACGTGGTAGAAATTCTTACTTGGCGGGTGGGGTGGGAGAGGTGCTGCGGAGTGGTGAGGGGCATCCCAAGGGGGTGGAAGAGTGTCTCACCCATGCTGCGCCTGGGCTGGGACCAGTAGTGGGTCCCGCCAGTGCAGGGTAGCCGGAAACTCTTTCCTCACACTCACCAGACCTGGGATAGGACTCCTCCCCCCCTTTTTTTTTTTACATAGGTCTCACTATGTATTTAGGCTGGCCTTGAACTCACTACATAGCCCTGCCTGGCCTTAAACTCATGGTTCTCCTCTTGCCTCAGCTTCCCACATATTGGGATTACAGTGTGTACTACCACACTCAGCATGAGTTGGATTTTTTTTTTTTGGTCCTGGTAATTGAACCCAGGGCCTCACACTTGCCAGGCAAGTGCTCTGCCACTGAGCTACATCTCTGGCCAGAGAACCAGCTTTATACGAAATTGGTAGTTCATTTAAACCTGTAAAACTAGAACTGGATGAACACCATTCCCTTGATGTTGTCTAGGCTCAGACAGAGCAGCTTTGGCACTGGAGTCTAACTGGAGGTACCAGGGTAAAAAACCATCAGTAATACAAAGCAAAGCAGAATCTAGCGTCAGAAGATTCGAGCTAGGCCTTATTTATGATGCTTCTTAGCTGTAGGTTCCTTATCCATGATACATGCTGAACACATCTAACTCAAAGTCTGAAATACCAAATGCTTCAAAATCTGAAACACTGTGAGTGCCCGCATGACAACACAGAGAAAGATTCCACATCTAACCCCACAGTCATAGTGCAGGAGGGCTGAAGACATTGTATAGAATTAGCTTTGGGCAGGAGCAAGGCATGTATAAGCATAATGAATTTGGCATTTAGACTTGGGTCTATTCCCAAGATCTGTCTTTCTCCCACTCTCTCTCCATCCAAATCCTGAAAAAGTTGAAAATCTGGAACACTTCTAGTTCCAAGTATTTCAGAAAAGTGATATTCTACTATATTTAGCAACAACAAAAGGTTCTAGTTCCTGTGGTTAAAAATGTTAAAAGAGATCATTTATATGAGGTATTGAAAATTTCATGTTTTTAAAGAAGACAGAATTACTAATAGAATCTTCTTGGGAAATAAAAGTATAAGACTTTGGTTGGCAAGAGCAGGAGGTGAGGGCAAAAGATAAGTGTCGTCATTAAGAAAAAGGGCTGTGATGAAGACACAGGCCACTCAGACACTGACCATTTTTTCTAAAAGGAATATGATTAAGAGCCATGAGCATAAATATTTGCAAAATAAATCAATGAAGTTACCACGAAGCAGTGATATTCTCTGGGCTGTGTAAGGCAGGTAGTACCGCCCATGGCTGGAAGGTGTGGGGGTTCCAATGGCTCCGAGTGTGGCACAGAGCCCAGAGAGCATAAGCAAGGGCAAACACCACAAGCTGCCCACCGCCAACAAGCCCTGGTTCCATGTAGCACCAGAGGAAGCTGTTTCTCACGGACAAGTTCCTCTCCTCAGCTTTGTGAACCTTGTAGGTCAGTATTTCATGAGAATGGTTGGAAGTGCATCAACTCAAATCACTGTTGTTGACACATTCACAGGCAGAAGAAAGCATGGCATATTCGTGGAGGAGCTTGTTGTCATTTGGATACCTGTGCAGAGTTTGAAGAAAGGAGTGGAAAGATGACATATCCCTTCTTCTGCGGCAAATCCCACAACTTTGCCAACTTTCTGAACATTGGGAATGGTGATGATCTTGGTAGCAGTCGACCAATTATCGCTGGCAATCCACATCTTATTTATATTACTTTCGATGGCTTTATTGAAGAGATTGAAAACGTGGACTTTCCTCAGAAATACTACAATGATATTAACCTGGGGCTCTGTGATGATTTTCTGAAGGGTCTGATTGATCTTGACTTCAAAGGTCTTATCAGAGAGGAAGGCTGGGAGAACTTCTTTGAAAGCTATACACATTATTTGCTGCAGCCTGGACTGTGAAAGTGCCAAGAGCCGTTGTCCGTAATTGTCATCTGTGGTTATGACACCAATCCAGCTCCATCCAGATTTCTGAATCAGTTGAGCCATTGCTTTAGTTTGATGGAAGTCTCTGGGCACAGTCCATAAAAATGAAGGGAAATGAATTTTGCCACTCAGAATTTCTGCAGTTGATTCATAGCTTACCTGGAAGTGGACAGATTATTTTAGAGATGGTGTTGGAAGGGTCAGGCGATGTTTATAGTAGGCTGTCCTCCCTTTGATTTCCATGGGTTTCCGCAGTTTTCCCTAAATTTTCTGGCTCCTTCTAGCTTGCCCTCTCCGTGGGCCCCCACTGCACAAATTGCTAAATCATATATTCCCACCAAAGTCTGGTTTAGCATCAGTGCTTTCTAATCACTTGTATAGAGTATAGAGCCAGTCTTATAGTGTTGTTTATGTGACTCTGTACATTTACCTCTAGCTCAAACCTCAGGCCAGGGCCAATGGTGGATATTTAATGATTTAAAGATAAATACAGATACAATGTAGCCAGTCAAGTAAATAGTGCATTTGGGATAAAGGGCCCGAAAAACCTTATTTATTCTATGACTTCGCTAATTTTACTTCAGGTAAACTCATCTAGTCCAGAGGTCAGCAAATGTTTCTACTAAGGACCAGAAATAAAATATTCTAAGCTTTGTTGTTCACATATGATCTTTACCTTCTTTATTGCATTTTTACTGTTAAAACCTTTTGATAAATTTCAAAATCTTTTTTAGTTTGACAGCTGATTAGCTAAGAGCCAAGTTTATTCTGCGGGCTTTGGTTTTCCAAGCTCTGATTGGGTTGAATGCACATCTGCACCTGGGAGACCTACTCAATGTGTGCAAAGTTTTGCTTGATTTGTAGCTTTTGTGATTTTATTTCCTGGAGAATTACTGGAATTATTGCCTTCCATAGCTGAAATAGCACCGTGCAACTTGGTGAAGTTTTTTGTTTCCTTGTTTATTGCTACTGAGCAGCAGCCAAGGAAGGGAATGGTAGATAATGTGGGCTTTGGAGCAGGACAAAATTTTGAACTGTAGCTCTAAAAAATTTGGGAAAGAATATTTCTTTACCTGTGCAATATAAGGTTCTTATTAAAATTAAAGGAAAAGTCTTACATAGACATTAGCGTTCTGTGGCTCTTCACTAAGCCTTATTACTAGGAAGCTAGGCCTTCTGCTCTTGCCAGATTTGGGTTTCTCACATCAGGCTCCCTGTCCTTGTGTAGTTCTGTCATTGAACTTACCATTTTACACTCACTAGTACTTGCTAAAGTAGTTTGCTTTTCTGATACATCACCTGACTAGCATTGTTCGTAGTGTAGAGATTTTGAGTCAGTCTATCTCTGATGTATTTATACAATTTTTTTTTGTCACTCTGGACTTAAACTTACTATTTCAGCCTCGTTGGGGTATAAGGTAATGAAACTCTTTATTTGTATTCTGAGTTCCTGTGCAAATGTACTGCATGGAATGGATTATATGGAATGGATATAACTGTATAATATATATTATATTTGCTCGCTTCCGTCAGATGGCCATTTCTTGATCATCTGAGCAGATGAAGTCTTTTTTCTTTTACTGAATTTATTTATTTTATTCATTTTAATGAGAAATAAAGATGACACAGTCTTGAAATAGATTAGCAGGAAAGTTACAATAATTAATACACTGCATATTGTTGTCTTCACGCTGGTTATTCAGAGGACAAGATGCAGACATAATATCTTGTCTAAACAATATTAGTACAAACCTTTCTTCTCAAGAACTAAGAGAAGGGGGCCAGGGAGATGGCTCAGTAGAATAACCTCTTGTCTGGCAAGCACAAGCACCTGAGTTCAATCCCCGGTTCCACAAAAAAAAAAATAAATAAATAAAAATAAAATAAA